ATCGGAAGATTGGTCCTTTCCACTCGCCTTGCCAGCGGCCAATCACCGACCGTCATACTTCGCGGACCCGCCGTTAGGCGGGGGAGAAGCAGGGATGTCGTCACAGCTAGGCGGTATTGTTACCTAAGGACTTGAGAGGAGGTGGGACGTGTGTTGATTGACAGACCTATTTCTCCTACCGGGATTTAAGGATTTGGCGCAATCCCCGCCTTAGGGGTGAGGTCTTATTTGATTGCCAAGTAATATTCCCCAATGGAGTCCTAGCTCGTGGTGACGGGCAGGCTGCTTGACTAATGAATCCTCGGCGTGGCCGGCGCAGCTCTCCAATCGCTGGGCGGCTGGCCCCAGTCTGAGCGGCGATGGCGGCGGCGGCGGCGGCGGCAGCAGCAGCGGGGGCTGCGGGCGGTCGGGGCTCCGGCCGGGGCGGCGGCACCATCTTGTGCCCGGGGCCGGTGGGGAAGCCGGGGAGGGGGCCCACGGGGGGCGCAGGAACGGCTTAGAGTCTGAGGAACTGGAGCCTGGGGACCTGCTGCTAGAACCCGAGCCTGAAGAGGAGCCGCCCGGCCCCGTGCCCCCCGCCCCCGCCCCGGGAGCTCCGGGCCCTGGGCCTGGCTCGGGAGCCCCCGGCAGCCAGGAGGAGGAGGAGGAGCCGGGACTGGTCGAGGGTGACCCGGGGGACGGCGCCATTGAGGACCTGGAGCTGGAAGCGATCAAAGCTCGAGTCAGGGAGAGGGAGTGTTACGGTCCGGGAGCCACACGCCTGGAGTCGAGTTCCCCGGTAAATGCGACCCGTGTCCGGTGGGCGGGGAATAACGTGGCTGGGGCCGGGCTGGGGAGGCAGCCTCGACCGCCAGAAGGGGCCCAGCCGGGTTGATTCGGGCGTCATGGGTGCCTAGTGTTGTTCCAGAGAAGGTAGCTTGGTTTTCTTTTCATTATGACCCTCGCGTGGGGCGAGAGAAATGGCCGAGCATGGCTGGGGCCGCGCGCGGAAGGAGAGCAGGGTAGAGCCCCTGCGTTAGTTCCTCTTAAGCTGTTCTCCATACCCTCCCCACTCATTGTAGGAGCTGGAAGCGATCAAAGCTCGAGTCAGGGAGATGGAGGAAGAAGCTGAGAAGCTAAAGGAGCTACAGAACGAGGTAGAGAAGCAGATGAATATGAGTCCACCTCCAGGCAATGGTGAGTAACTGGCGGTTGCACGCGGAACCCGGGTCCTGAGATTGGAAGGGTTGTCGGAGCACGGTTTATATGGAATTAGATGTTCGGAACCTTGGAGTTGTTTGTCTGAGCAATTACTGGGCAGTTGCTGCAGTCATAGTCCATTGTGTGTTTTTCTGACCTTTGTGAGACGGGGCATATGTTTTGGTGATGGTAGTCTTGTGCCTCCCTTTGTCCCTGTTACAAATGTGTTGCTCTTTGTTCTTAGTCTTCCACTACCCTTTTTGGAGGTTGCCAGCTGGTATTTGACCTTCAAGTCCAATAGTTTTTCTTTCAGTTGGAGACCTTTAGTTAGGAGTCCTAAGATAAACTGCTCAGCTTCAGGGGGCTTCTCCTCTAATCTAGAAATGTCCAGCCTCAGCCGACTTAATTTTGTTCACTTTTCAAATCATTTTAACCGAAGCTACTCAATAGGTACTTGATTTGGGGGCGGAGGGAATTCCTGTATTATTTTCTTTGATTTTTAAGACTGTATTAATCTATTCCTTAATTTTTCAAGTATTTGGTGAGCACCTACTGCATGCTAGACTGTTTTAGGTAATGGGTACAGCAGGGAACAGAACAGACCAAAATCTTTACCTTTGCTGCTGCTTGTGGTGGTGGTAGTGGTGCATAGATTGGCCAAGTAGAAAACAAGCGTTTTTTTCCTGATCCTTTTTTCTTCAAAGCTGGCCCAGTGATCATGTCCATTGAGGAGAAGATGGAGGCTGATGCCCGTTCCATCTATGTTGGCAATGTATGTACCAGAGCCTTGACTAGGGTTGGGGAAAGCTCTTAGTTTGGGGGATTATTTATTAGGAGTCTTGAAAGGAACTATTTCCAGGGTAGGTGGTGGATTTGAGGGGTGGAGGGAGGGTTGGAATGAGGTGAAAGGTAATGGTGATTAGCAGAGGCTCTGGGGTTGGAAGGAAAAGAGGTTAGTTCCTCAGAGAGCTAGATATTGATGTGCTTTGGTGTGTATGGATGGCCCAGCGCAGAGGCTAGGAAGAGTACCTGTGGAGATGGGAGTTTGCCCTGTTACCTGTGAAATGTACCCCCCACAGGTGGACTATGGTGCAACAGCAGAAGAGCTGGAAGCACACTTTCATGGCTGTGGTTCAGTCAACCGTGTTACTATACTATGTGACAAATTTAGTGGCCATCCCAAAGGGTAAGTGGGGAAGTTGAGGTCGTTTTAGTCACAGTTAAAAAATAAATAAATTATATTTTATATTGAGCAGTAAGTTACCTAGATGTTAAAGTAAGTAGTTCATCTTTTAAGATAGGTCTTAATGTTGATACATGTCAAGGGTTGCACATAAAATTACCTTCAGGGCCCCAACAGATAACAGAGATGGGGGCTGGGTGTGGGGGAGATCATGAACTATAAGGGGGCCGCCTTCTGCATGGCCCCCACCGTTTTCTGCCTTGCGGAGAACCAGGCCCTCTGTATCCTATCTTATAATTTTCCAAGAGTAGCTGCAAATTTTGATTAAAATCTTCCATTAAGAATTCTTTGGACAAATAATTAAAAATATGAACACACTGTACTCAAACAAAGCATGCCTGCAAGTTGGATTTGACCTGTGAGCTGCTATTTGTATCCTCAGATAAAGTGGCAATTACCCTTTTCAGGTTTGCATATATAGAGTTCTCAGACAAAGAGTCAGTGAGGACTTCCTTGGCCTTAGATGAGTCCCTATTTAGAGGAAGACAAATCAAGGTAAGCCCTGTGCCCTTTGCTGTTCTGGTTCTCTGTAAGTTCTCCAGGTTGGCTCTAAGGCATTGTGTTGTACGTGTCATTCTCAGGTGATCCCAAAACGAACCAACAGACCAGGCATCAGCACAACAGACCGGGGTTTCCCGAGAGCCCGATACCGTGCCCGGACCACCAACTACAACAGTTCCCGCTCTCGATTCTACAGTGGTTTTAACAGCAGGCCCCGGGGTCGCGTCTACAGGTCAGGATAGATGGGCTGCTCCTCTCCCCCGCCTCCCATGAGCCCTGTATACTTCCTTCTCTCCTCATCTGAGGAACCTCCCTCCTTTACCCTCCCCTTGGTTCCGGGGACTTGGTCTCCTGCCTGTGCAGGGTGAGGAAGGTAGTTGCAGGCCAGGAGGCCAGTCTCATCTTTTTCTGGAGCAGGAATTGGTGATAAGGGCTGGATCTCTCTACCCTGTTCTGAGAGATGCTTCTCCACCCAGCCTTTTTTTCCTTGAGAGTTGATGGCAGTGAAGGTGTTTACACAGAACGCCCGGGAAGAACAGGGCCTCAGAGCAGTGAAAGCTCTGTTTGGACTTTTGCTACTTTTCCCAGAGTTAGGGAACCTCCCTTGGAAGAAAACCAGAGGCTAGTTGATCCTCCTCAACAGCCATGTGGGAGGATATCGAGATATTTACTCTTTAGCCAGTCTTTTGCAACTTTCTCGCTGGGCCTAGTGTGGCACCCATGTTGTTGCTTCACTTTGCTTCCATTTCTTTACATTTAAATAGACAGTTTAGGCATATAGACCTTGGCTTTTCATAAGATTTACCTGTCAGCTCCCAGGAGGTAGGGAGGATCTGTTGGTGAGAGCCTCGCTTTTAAGAGCTGTGGAGAACTGGAATCTGGATAAACAATGAGTCCTTTTTCTTGCCCCTGTGTCTCAGATGCATTTCTTTATTGCCACTGTTTGGCGAGGTGATAACAGTTAATTCCCCACTCCCATTTGCCAGGTGTGTCACTATTTCTGGGATTGTGGGGGTCAGTTTTAGGACTTGGGAAACTTCTTTCCCCTCTTCCCTTCTCAATAACTGGGGCGAGGGCCCATGGGGAGGGGCTTGTACTGAACTATTTAGTGATCATGTTAACACCTAACTCTCCTTCTTTCTTCCAGGGGCCGGGCTAGAGCGACATCATGGTATTCCCCTTACTAAAAAAAGTGTGTATTAGGAGGAGAGAGAGGAAAAAAAGAGGAAAGAAGGAAAAAAAAAAAGAATTAAAAAAAAAAAAAAAAAAGAAAAACAGAAGATGACCTTGATGGAAAAAAATATTTAAAAAAAAAAAAAGATATACTGTGGAAGGGGGGAGAATCCCATAACTAACTGCTGAGGAGGGACCTGCTTTGGGGAGTAAGGGAAGGCCCAGGGAGTGGGGCAGGGGGCTGCTCATTCACTCTGGGGATTCGCCATGGACACGTCTCAACCGCGCAAGCTGCTCCCCCTGTTTCCCTGTCCCCCTTTGCCCCCTTGCGGGCTGCTCAAGGGTAGGTGGGCATGGGTGGTTGGAGGGTTTTTTTTTACCCAGGGCTCTGGAAGGACACCAAACTGTTCTGCTTGTTACCTTCCCTCCATCTTCTCCCTAGCTTTCACAGTCCCCTCCTGCTTGTTCCTGTCCTGCCAGGTCTACCACCCACCCCACCCCTCTTTTCTGGCTCCCTGCCCCTCCAGATTGCCTGGTGATCTATTTTGTTTCCTTTTGTGTTTCTTTTTCTGTTTTGAGTGTCTTTCTTTGCAGGTTTCTGTAGCCGGAAGATCTCCGATCCGCTCCCAGCGGCTCCAGTGTAAATTCCCCTTTCCCCTGGGGAAATGCACTACCTTGTTTTGGGGGGTTTGGGGGTGTTTTTTGTTTTTCCGTTTTTTGTTTTGTTTTGTTTTCCTTTGCCTTTTTTTCCCTTTTGTTTGGAGGGAATGGGAGGAAGTGGGGACAGGGAGGTGGGAGGTGGATTTTGTTTATTTTTTTAGCTCATTTCCAGGGGTGGGAGTTTTTTTTTTAATATGTGTCATGAATAAAGTTGTTTTTGAAAATAAAAAATGTTTGGCCTTTTGGGTGTATGGATTATTTATCTTCCTGTTGTCTCTTAAATCCCAGATGGCTGTTAATTCTCCTTTCTGGAAATGCTGGTGTTGTGGAGGGGAGGTTCCCACCTAAGGAGTAGGAGTCAGAAGTACAACTAGCAGGAACATTGTGTGTTTAGCTGAGCTTGATGGGGTTTTCTGGAAAGCATGTAGCCCTGATTGGCATTTGAGAGGTACATTAAATGAGCCTGGGAATATAAAGGAATGGCCAGATTAGAGTGCTCTGATAGCACTTTAGTGTGTCCTCTTGATAAAATTTATGTGCAAATGAATTATCCACACCAACAGCACTAGATTCTTATGTTGGGGTCTGGGTAGCCTTTTTTGTCTTCTCTATCCCAAGGTAGGCTCAAAAAACGAGGGAAAAAAATTAGGGGGACTTCCCTGGTGGCGCAGTGGTTGAGAGTCCGCCCGCCAATGCGGGGGACACGGGTTCGGGCCCTGGTCTTGGAAGATCCCACATGCCGCGGAGCACCTGGGCCCCTGTGCTACAGTTACTGAGGCCCACCTTCCTAGAGCCTGTGCTCCGCAACGGGAGAGGTCACCACAATGAGAAGCCTGTGCACAGCAACGAGGACCCAATGCAGCCAAAATAAATTTAAAAAAATTAGGGCTTCCCTGGTGACTCAGTGGTTAAGAATCTGCCTGCTGGGGCGTCTCTGGTGGCCCAGTGGTTGAGAGTCCGCCTGCTGACACAGGAGACACGGGTTCGTTCCCCGGTCTGGGAAGATCCCACATGCCACGGGGTGGCTAGGACCGTGAGCCATGGCCGCTGAGCCTGCGCGTCCGGAGCCTGTGCTCCGCAACGGGAGAGGCCACAGCAGTGAGAGGCCCTCGTACCACAAAAAAAAAAAGAATCCGCCTGCCAATGCAATGGACACGGTTTCAAGCCCTGGTCCAGGAACATCCCACATGCCCCATGCGCCACAACTACTGAGCCTGTGCTCTAGAACCCGCGAGCTACAACTACTGAGCCCATGTGCCACAGCTACTGAAGCCCACATACCTAGAACCCGTGCTTTGCAACAAGAGAAGCCACTGCGATGAAGCCTGTGCACCGCAACGAAGAGTAGACCCCGCTCGCCGCAACTAGAGAAAGCCTGTGTGCAGCAACGAAGACCCAACACAGCCAGAAATTTAAAAATTTATTTATTAATAAAAGTTAACATTTAAAGATAATTGCAAAGCTTATGTTCTTTAGCAGTTCGGTGGCCACTTAATACGTTCAGCTAACTTGTTTTTGTTTTTTTTTTTTTTTTTTTTTTTTTTT